AAAAAAAAATGACATACAAAGATTGATATAATGACAAATGAAAGTAGATAAGAAAATAGTAGATAATAATAAATGAAAATAACAGAATGCAGACTGACATATATTAAATAGATAGGCATTACACATAATTACATCTAAATATATTTACACTTAATATTTACACTTAATATTTACACTTATCGTAATGAGTATTCTCTTTTTTTTGTCAATTTTTGCTTTATTACAACTTTCTAATATCTCTACTTTGTATACACATATAGATACATATATTTTTTTTTTATTTTTCTTTTTTTCTTCTTGCTCGAGACAAACGAGACAATGATGCAGCCAACTTTTTTTGACTCGGAAACTGTAACTGCTGTCGATACAACAAAAATGACATGCGCAAAAGCGTAATCAACTAAGAGAAACTTTTTTTCCCACAATCGCGAAATGTTAGAAAAAAGAGACTGAACATGAAAAAACGAATGAAAAATGTTAATAGTTTCGCGAAAATGATTACGTTCTGCGTAACCACTTACGAAAAACTATAGTGAAAAATCATACTGTTACAGGAAAAAATAATAACATTGGAACGTAATCATACTAGAAACTATAGCGGCGCATTGTTAAAGAAATAAACGCAAGTGTAACCAGTACATATGCAAAAATGTAATCGGTTAGAGAAAAAACTGTCGCGGTTTAACTGTTGAAGAAAACTGATACGAATGGCGAAAAACTATAATGGCGTTAAAGAAAAAATGACAGGGAAGCGTAAACATTTCGATGAAACTATAGTGGTGTACTCGGAAATGAAATGACACACGCAAGAGCGTAATCATTTGAAAGAAATTATAATGGCACATTATTAAGGGAAAAACGACATGTAAGAATATAATTTAGGAGAAACTAACTGCATTGTTAAATGGAAAAAAAACTAACACGGGAGCGTAATAGTTTTAAAGGAACTAAAGTGATACACTAACTAAAAGGTTAATAATAGGCCTGTCCAATCTGTGGATCGTGCCTCCCTTCGGGCGCCCCTTATTAAGGGAGCCCCCTCCTTACTCAATTTTCGTTGCCGTTTCTTTCCCTTCTAGACGACGCACAAGCCTTACTCACGCAAGTCTCGAATCATGTGACAGTTACAACCCTCACTGTCATCAACCCGAAACTGAACTGTCGTCTGTGTGCACAAACCTCGCTGTTCACACGAATCGAGGGCTCGTGTGATGTCGCGAGGGCTCATGCCCCGTATAAAAAGAAAGAAACAAGAACGAAGAGTGAGCATGAAGGGGGCCACTCGATGGGGGGAGTAAGCCACAGGTTGGACAGGCCAAGCTTTAGTGAATATGTTTTGCTGGGTTTTACTTTGTCTTTTCTTCTACCTTTTGTCCCCTCATTCTCTCTCTCTCTGTTATTAATTTGTTGCGCGAAAGGAAGATGGCCGAATCGCAATCAGCGGATGTTCCTGCATTTTGTCAAGCTTTCATTCGTACGGAAAGTATTCAACTGATAGCGCGTGAATTACGCGGTAAAGAAGTTTTGTTGTTCTATTTCAGTAATTACAGTTCTCGCGTCGTCCTTCTCTTTTTTTTGCCCCTCTCCTGTTACTATCTTCATCTGATTATATATATCCGTTTAATACATTTAACATTCAATATTGAAGAAAGAGTTGGAAGGGAAGAACATCTATTGGTTAAGAAAGAACAGAGAGAAAGTACAGAGAAACAGCACAATTAGACACAGACGACATCTAACTAACTTCTTTTTTTTTTTCTTTTTTTTTCTCTTTTTTGCTTTATAATGATTTTTCACATTCTTGTACACAGATACATTTTTTTTTGCGTTTTTTTCGTTTGTTTTTTGTTTTTTTGTCTTTTTTTTGGGCTTTCTTTTCCACAATATCTTTTTTTCGTTCTTCATCAAAGATCTTCTCATTCGTCTGCCTCCTATCACTTTCTCCCTCCCAGTCTTACATATGTTTCTTCTGCTCCGTTCTCTCTGCGTCTCTCTTTCCCTTTTGCTCATGCTACTTTTCTCGGTTGCTCTTTCCCAGGATGTTATCAATCGCGAATCGCGTAAGCTCTCCCCTCTTTACGCTTTTTCCCCTGCTTTGCCTATCCCTTCAACATCTCTTTCTCTCTCTCTCGCTCGCACACACTCACACTATTCCTTCCTCTCGAATCTTTTGTCCTTTCCGTTTCCCATAATTATGCCTTAAAAGTCAAACACATCTATCATGATTACATATAGTAGACAAAAGAAGCAGAGGGTAGTAGTAGTTCCCATCTTGCTTAAATATATATATTCCCATTGAACAATTACGAACACCACGATGACAAGCAACACCAATAACAATGCGCGAACCAGAGCGATAGTTTTAGTAGAATTGTCGTTAACTCAAACGTAAAGTCCAAGCCCCCCTAAATCGTAGATCGTTTTGCTCGGGCGCCCGCCGACGTATAGGGGATTTTGGAAACGCAAGAGGCAACTGAAACGGTATAATAACGCGGAAGAAGGTTGGAAGTTAAAGGACAGAATGACGAGAATGTCAGAAAAGCAATCCGAACATAACGAAATTAAACGGGTATAGAGATGGGTTTATCTTGTTTATCTGGGGGATCAGCATCTGAGGACGATGACGTCTCCCTGCTTGATTCGTCATCGTCCTCAGATAAAGTCGCGAGGTAACAGTAAAAAGAAAAAAAGAAACATATTAAAAGGATGAGGAGGAATAAGAGAAACAGCTTGGAAAAGAAGATTAAAACGTATACAGGACAAAAAGTATGAAAGGGGTGGGTTTGGAGCTGCGTCGTGAAGGTGACGTTGAACAAGATTGTAATTTTTTCGGTCTTTTTCTTCGGAAATTTAAGGGAGGAGGATCGAAGCTTGTATTTATTTATGCGGGGTGTGGGCTTTTTTTTTTAAGATTTTTTAGATTTTTTAAATTTTTTTTTTTTAATCGGAGATTACTGTCCTCTTCTTAGGCTGTTGACAGAATAGAATGGAAAAGCGGCCGTTTAGTCACATCTGGTATAGTTATGACAGTTAAGAGGTTACGAGGGGCGAGCAGGATTCATAACACACACATAGAATAAGGATGTGAAACTCTCGTGAAAGAGCGTACGCATCGATGAATGAAAATGGGGGGGTGGTGGAGGGAGAGGGGGTTGTACACATCGTACACACGAACAATTTTTAGTACAAGAGTGACAAAGCACACTGATAAAGATTAGAGTCAGAGTTAGAAAAAGCTACTCGCACGAGGATGGAGTCGAGAAAGTACATATACGTATATAGAGAGAGAGAAAAAAAAAAAGAAAAGAAAAGAAAAAAAAAAGAATGAAGATAGAAACGGGCATATATAGAGAACTACAAACGTGACGCAAACGTGGTTAGCTAGTGCGCTGGTGAGAAGATCGGTGGAAACATCGATACAGATTGATTTTCTCTTTTTTCTTTTTTTCTTTTGAGGTTTCACGTTCATTTATACGAGTATATACTCACGAGGAATATGTGTTTTTTTTCTTCGACACCTTGTGTTTTGGCACAGATCGCTCGATCCAAGAGGAACTTTTCCCTTTTTTATTTCAATCTTACGATTCTAGTTTTGCTTTTATACTCTTTTATGTCTCGTGTTTCATGTCCGATAATAAATGACAAAATGTTCGATGTTTCGGCTGCAACTGCATTTATTAATAAAAAGAGAACCCGTTCCTCTTCGAACGCATGTATCTAACATATGTATCCCTTGTTTGAAAATCTCGTTGGTGGTCGCAACCAGCACGAACATCTCGTCAAACATTGGCTAATCTACCGAGATGTGTGTACAGAACAATTTCGAATCAGCATGCATCATGATCTCATTTACAGAGATCGAGGATTCACTGCACACGACTGCAGGAATCCCCAATTTTACGAACGTCGTAGGCTCATAATAGTTTAACACCGAAACTATCGAAGATCGTGCTACAGAATAACAAAAAAAAATTCTTTCTACTCACAAATTAGGGAAACTTTAACAGCTTTAATAAAAATTTTAACAACTTTCATCCGAAAGTGAAAGTTTGCAACGCAAGTACGCGCCTACTCTAAAAGTTTCCAGGAAACCAGAAACTATCAAATAACATCCTACGCAACGAGTTCTCCGTATTAGATGCAATTTAGAAATATCAAACGAATATCAAAAAGTAAAAAAAAAATCCCAAGGCTTTCGAGTCTAATAAAATAATAATAAAAAAGTCAATAAAATTAAGTAATAATAAAAAGTCAATAATAATAATAAAAGTCAAAAAATTAAGTAATAATAAAAAGTCAATAATAATAATAAAAGTCAATAAAATTAAGTAATAATAAAAAGTCAGTAATAATAACAAAAGTCAATAAAATTATGTAATAATAAAAAGTCAGTAATAATAACAAAAGTCAATAACATTATGTAATAATAAAAAGTCAATAATAATAACAAAAGTCAATAAAATTATGTAATAATAAAAAGTCAATAATAATAACAAAACTCAATAAAATTATGTAATAATAAAAAGTCAGTAATAATAACAAAAGTCAATAAAATTATGTAATAATAAAAAGTCAGTAATAATAACAAAAGTCAATAAAATTATGTAATAATAAAAAGTCA